AGCTAAATATTCAATTAATTAAAATAAAAAAAAAAAAATTGTTGCAATTCACTAGTGTTGGAAACCTCTTTATTAGGCTTTAAGTTCAATAAATTTTTTACGAAGAAAAGATTGTTGCATTTGCATTGAAAAGACAGGGATGTATAAAGAAAAGTTTCTTATTCAGTTCAGGTGCTTTATAAGGAGCAGTCAGTTTTAGTGGAGGAGGTAATATTCTATTACTTTTGCAGTTGCTAATGGTGTTCTAATATTAAATACATAGCTTTGATAGCACATGTTGAATATGGAATTGAATTCTTAAATATTTATGAACGGCATAATTTCCAAAAAAATTTGAATCAATTATAAATTTTTCATATAATACTATGTTCAGACACACCTTAATTTCGCAAAAATCTTAATTACATCTTTGTTTCAGCGAAATTAAGTTGTTTTTCCCATACAAAATTCAATTTTGAGGTTAGAGCGAAATTAAGGAAAATAGCCTTAATTTCGTTGAAATGAAGGCTGAAATTAAGGAATATTTCAAATGCGACTATGCGTAAGATAAATTTAAAGCAAAAGATAAAGTTCCGATAAAGAAAAAGTGACATTTTTTTTTAAATTAATGTTAATGACAGTTGACTTCAATAAAAGTGGGAAATATTAAGAAAGTAGGTGAAATTTTTAAATTTGAAAATAGATTGAAAAATAATATTCCTATACCTGAAATCCATTAAAGCTAATAATAAAATACTACTGAATAAAATTACTGAATCCCTTATTGTTATAATAATCAACTTTTAAAATTTTCGAGACACAAATGGTATTTGGAGCATATAATTTTTAACATTCGATTTGTAAGCATAAAAAACATATGATTTTCTTAATTTGTGGCAGTATGAACACTTCGAAATTAACTTGATTTCATTTAGGTATACAAAATTAAAGAAATTTGGCTGTCTGAACATAGTATAAAGCAATATATATATTTGGTGTTAATAAAAACAAGTGAGTTTACTATTATTTATGCGGTTGTTTATGAAAATGATTGTAAATCCTTATCAAAACCATTCACATTTTCCCTTTTCACAATCCTTACTTTAATGCGTTGTAACTAATTTTCAACAAAACTCACTCTAAACTATTGCAATATCCTATACTCAGCTTCATCGTCGCTGAACAATAACTCTCCACCTCATTATTATTGGAAAGTTTCTCTCCGAATACACGTTTTTTTGTTCTTATAGTTCCGTAATCAAATTTGCTTTATTATGCCAGGATACGTTAAAGGAGGAAGTTATTGTTGAAACTTTGCCCGGCACGCTGCAGCACATTGCCTGGAAGATGCAGCACAAACAACAAGGCGGCTAGCGTGGACTTTGCACATGTCACATCAATTTAACTTTCACAACCGGAGCGACAAACGCAATATAAAATAGCTAAATTGCGTGTGCATCAACTTCCTTCATTATTCTGCATTATTTACCTATGCTGGTGTGCCTTCAGTATCCTTCAGCCAACGTGCACCATTGTTGCCAGAGTCGTCGGTCGTCAACGTAACACAGCGCAATGCAAACTTCTCATCAACGTAATGGTGTTTCCATCACAATTTCTATCTTTTTATTATAACTTATTTTTTTTATAACTTATTTTTTCTGCATTATTATTATTACTATTTTTTTGTATTTCAGTACTTCAGTATTTTTGTGTTTTTATATTTTTCCCCATCACAAAAGTTGTAAAATGAGATGATAAATTACATTATGTGCGGAATTTGCGATTGCCAGGCAACCGGAAGTGAAGCCATCATTATGAGAACGACAGCACACTTCTTCGTGCCTTACTCATATTTTTGTGTTGATTACTCGTATCTTACCTTCCTTAACAACCGCCTTATATATATATATATACCATAGGAGTACGAGGGGTACAAGAATATTTATAGATACATGCTCGTATTTTATATGGAATGAATATAAATATTTAACGACATTAAGTATTTTTACTGCGTATCCGTAATTACGCAATGTATCTATCCACATAATTTCAAGTAACTCGTATCACTGAATGGAGTTTAATGTGATTTGCTTATATTCTTAATTATACCAATTCACATAAAAAGCTTAAAAATTGTACTGGATAATGTTTTCCGTTATTTAGATAAAATCAGACTCATTATGGATGAAATATCTGATTTTTAATATTTATTATTACGCGGATTATTATTAAGTTAAAAAATTTACATGTAATGTTGAGTCTTTTCCGAGTTAGTGCATCTGGGCAGTTTTACTCTTTGATAGCTGGAGTTTCAAAGAGTTTCTGCAGAGTCCCACCCATCTCACTGACTAATTTGAGTATTTCTCATAAACTTCGTGATTATTCAATGACTGATCTAAGATCTGCGTACCGCCCAATGCAGTTAGTGCTTACTCTGAGATCAAATAGTGCCAAGTAGGACAGCCTTTCGGTTTACGCATATAGCTTTAGAGCTCTGTTCGTTATGTGTTTCTTGACCGGATCTATTTTAAGGTCTCTTAGGATGACCGATCTTGTTTAATGAGGAAGAGAATACATTAAACCGCGGCTACAATGGTGCATTGCATTAAACTGCGAGATAATTTTTCGCAATGCTCTACGTATCTTCAGTTTTTTGAATTTATTAAATAACTACTCCATAAATTATTTATTTCTAAAACTGAGTGTTTTAGTAGCATTTGTAATTTTCACAAAAGTGTATTTCTCACAAGACTTATATATTTAAAAATATAGTTATTTATCTGCAATTACCAACTACACTGTTTGTTCAATAGTTTTCTGTACATACTAAATGGATCGGCCTAAGAAATAAAAACGTACTTTTTTGAAAAATTATATTTTACGCTTTCATATATGTAGTTCTCTCTTAGCTTCACACATCGAGTCCAACCGAGACTTTCAATATGTTATTTGGATTCCTTTTAAATAATACGATGTATCAAATATTCGAAGACGTACCTTAGTTTGCAATATCGTAGAATTTTTCAATGTTTGTTTCAGTTGTGATCTCGTTTGGACGACCAGGACGCTTTTCATCAAAAACACTCGAATGACCACATTTAAATACAGCTTTCCAATATTTTATAGTTATTAACGATGGTGCAAGGTTGCCGTAAACAGAATCCATTTCCAATTTACAATCTAATACAATCTATTATTTTTCAAATTTATTTTTCAACGGTATTTAATTTTTTTCATTTTGTTAAAAATCAACAAGGTACACTATTTCAACTATTTGCAAAACCTAACCAAACATCTGATGAAGTCGAAACTTTTACAGGTTACGTTAGGTTGGAGTGGCGGCCTTATATCCCAAAAAGCCCACTTAAGCACAAATAATGGCCCATTGTGATACCACAGGAGTTACGTTGATTTGTATATAGATTGTAATCAGTATACATTCAACGCCGAAGAAAGGTAACGACTCCCCTATTAGGTAAAGGAAAACCAACCTGACAGTTCTATGAACTTGGCTAGGTCCCTAAAATTACAGGATGACAACTCAGTCAGGTCAGTTAGAACTTTTACAACTATCGTGTAAAACTTACCAGATATACATAATATAATAGATTTTGTTCTGGCGTTCCCTCCTATTGACAAGTCGGGTAGTTATCAAACCAGCTAGTAGCTTGCATTTGTGGGCAAATAATTTATTTTCTACATAAATTTTTTGCTTCTTTTGCTTGAACCTAAGTTATGATTTAATTGTCGTCGACTACATTTTTATATAATTTTAATTAATTGAATTTTTCTAACGAAAATTAAATTAATTATTAATTATTATTATAATTATTAATTATTTGAATTTTTCTAACCAAAATTAAAATATTAATTAAATTAACATATTAGTTATAATTAAAATAATATAAAAATAATTTTTCTTATAGTTCACGACTTTTCGAAACCTTTTTAACAAAAGTAGAGAAGTCATAACTATCTGAATAATTGACGTAATTTTTAATAATATGGTAAATGCTTTAAAATTTAAAATTACAATATTCTTAACTAAAATTATATAGTTTTTAAAATCAAATCCAAAAATTTCAAAGTGTCCATTGCCAAATAATATTTTGTGTTTTTGTTCGAAAGAATTTAAGAAAATATTAGAATCAATACACATTCTCCAGATCCTAAATACAGTATTGATTGAAACAATTTTTTAAATCCTTTTATACAAAAACACAATAAAATACAATAATATATATATAGTAATATATAATTAAAATAGAATAATAAAATAATAAACATAAGTAAACAAGTAATCAAAAATCACATTTAAAATTTTAAGTATTAATATTTACTACAAAATGTGTAAAATTATTATTGATGGCATAGAGTTTTCCATATCAGATGTACTAGTACATGTCATATATTATGCTTAAAACCAACTTCTTAAGAAGTTCATTGTACTTTCAGCAGTTCAACTTTCCTGCTTTCTATCACTTATCAAATCTGTAAGAAACTCATTGTTTTTTTTTTAAATTTTATCTTTTTTGTTGAAATATTTTTCAAGTTCACGTATCGCTCGAAAAAAAATTCTCATGAAATGATGGAGAATTTTCAGTGCTTGACTAAAAATAGATAATACAGCCACACATTGCTCCTTATTATACCCCCTTGTTAACTGTAACAGTTGCTATATCCCGTTGCAATGTACTTCCTAAATCTATAAACACATTTCTTGATTTCTTATCTGAAGTAAGTATCCAAAGCAATCACATGGTGACGGCACGAGCGGCCGCTCTATTTTTGGAAACACTCCATTAAACCGTCTGTTGAGTCACTCAGCCCATCAAAAAAGTTGCATTTATTTTTAGAAATCAGTGTCATCGCATTCCAATTGAATAAATGAAATGTTCTCGAGTCTGTAAATAGAATGCAGTTTCTGGTTGTGCAGTGTCTAATTGGGAAAAAGGGGATAAAGTGCTCGTAGAGCAGAGCAACGAGCGATGAAGTTGAGATTCAGTTCAGTTTTGTGCAGCATGAGAACCAGACGAAATTCTTTGCCGACCTATGCACAATCTTGGTAGGCAATAAATTCAATTAAAAAAATTACATGTAATTGTGAAATAAATACTTAAATTGCTATTTCTAAATATATATAAATAATATAATGAACACTTGGGTGTAAAATTAAATATAAATAAAAATGATAAAATAAAGTAAAATAATAATTATTTTTATTATTATGTAAACCTAGAAAAGCTGGTGATAGAAATGGAATAAAAAATATTCAAAAAATTGTTGAAAAATTTAAAAAAAAATTATACTTTATAATTTAATTTTAAAATATGAAAATATAATACATTTCATATAATTTAATATTATATATAAGAATCTAAAGTAATGAACTTTAAAAAGGCACCCACATACTATTAAAGTGAAAGTTTTAATCTGATTTAATAAATATATATCAAAAAAATGGTTTTCGTCATAAATATGTTTTTAAATAAATTTTTAGCAATATATAGACCCATTTACTAGCTTATTACTAATTATTATTACTAGCTGTGTATGAATAAAATATCTAGTGTAAAGCCTTATCTATTACAATTGTAGTTCTACTATAATACGTTATGGAATAATTTAATTAGTGATGATTGTAATAATTTATATCTCTCACAGAGAAATCAAATTAGTGATGTATTTTTTTCGAATTCATATGAAAATATTTTATTGAAATTATCTATTAAAACTAGAAGACAAACTTAAAACTCATTAATATATACCAATTTTCAGCTATAAAGTGAAATGTATTAGATATCATTCTTTATTTTTACTCTTATAATAGAGGAATATCCAGTAATACTTATCCATCATATTTCTTTAAAATATTCATCTACTTCAAATTGAAATAAATAATATATCGGAGAGCTTTTTAAATAAAAAGTGTATTATCGGCAACTTGAAAACATTTAACATTAATCCTAAATAATAAATATTAAAATAAAGTGTCCTCCAGACTATATAAACTACCATAATGTTAAATCAGGTGGATGCTTTTAAATAATTGTTGTTAAATAATAACTATTAAGTAATAAATCAATTTTCTTTACAAAAAAATAAAATACATTTGTTGAAGTTAATATTAAAAAATTTGGTTATCAGTACCGAATTTATCTAAACAGTACCAGATTGCAGCTCTACGACACGCATAGACACACGTCCCAAAAACTTGTCGAAATTAGCAAATAACATATACATATAATGTATGAATCAGTGTGTAGTCAATATCCTTGATTGACATATCAGAATTAATAATTTATTTATTAACAGAACGTGATATATATATTGCAACAATTACGTCAATGTGGGATCAATAGCCCGAGTTAATACATGAACTAAATGACAATGCTAAACTTATTTTTAAAGTATTTAAATCTAAACTTTAAAGAGACCTCAATAAATCCCAAAATAAGAGCCAAAAAAAAGTAACCGTTCGGTGCAAATGCCTTTTCGTCTTTGCATTTCCAAACTAAGTATTGCGTTTTCCTTCACAGCAGTGATGGCCAGTACTTTTTAGTGTTCGGACAAGACCAAGCCATATAAAAAATTATATCAATTTCTAAATAACCGCAATCAAATGTCGTATGAGTCCCAAAAAATATCTGGAAATCCATTTGGCTTATAAACATATATTACAAGTTTTAATCAGTGATGCTTTATATTTGTTATTTTGCTATAACAAAGATGGGTCATAATCCTTGCAATAGAAATAGAGCATCAATGATTAAAACTTATAAATTAAATTAACATTAAAAATACCATCTCTATATGTAAGCAGCATTATTTTCTGAGATATAAGTTGAAACTTAATTAATTAGTATTTTTTTTAGTTACTTATAGACTAGCATTGCTTCACACATTGCATAAAATTATTTTATTTGTAAGTGCTTAAGGCACTTACAATTACTGATGATAATTTTAAATTTCTTAAGATTATTAATATTAGACATCAAATAAAATCTTAAATCAATTAATTTTGCCTTTACAGTGAAACGTCTAAGAGCTTACTTTGTCAGTCCGTCTTCGCAACTCCACTTAAGGATCCGCTTTTAATAATAATCACTCTGACTGCTGTTGTTGGGTCCTTTTGTCTTCTCAGTGGCTTAACTCTTCTATGCTTGTTTTCAAGGGCCATCAATGATGAAATTTCTGAAACAATACTCTTAATCGGTAATTTCTTTGTTTTTTAAATATATTTATAATATTTCTATCTATTATTTATTTATATCTAAATAAAAACATTTTAGGTATTGGATTCTTCATCACATCTTTAGCTTGCGTTAGTTGGCATTTAACGAATAAAAGAAGAATATCAGAAATAATAGAAGCAATGAAGGATGAAATCGTCTGATAGTTACTAAATTATTTAGTTGTTAATTTTTGTATTTAAAACTAGTTCCTAATTATAATATAATTATAATATTTTTTTTAAAATATATAATTTATAACAATAATGTATATTTACAAGTATTATAACAATTTGCAAGAATTTCCCCTATGAAGTCCATAATGCAAAAACAATACATGGGAGACACAATATTTTTGTTAAAAAAATTGTTCTAAAACAATAAAAAATTGTTATATGAAATATAACCTTAAGGAAAATTAAAAAAAAATTTTTAGAGAAAGGCTAGGAAGTCTATTACGCGTTTTTCCTGAACAAATTAGACTCGTCTTAAGAAAATTTATTTTCTTGCAAAAAAGATTTCAAAAATTAACATTAAATTATCAAAATTTCCAGTTAAATGATAAAGTTAAATGATAACACAGCTCTATATTAAAAAATTACGCACAAAATAACCAGTAATACGTATAGAATTACAGATCTTCTTGCTGATGATCGTTACTTCCTCTCATTAGCATGTCATTTGAACTTAAAATTAGACTATTATACCGATACGTGCTCTACATATTTACATTATCTGTATAAGTAAGTATGTGTCCTTCAAATGATAGTAATAATTTATTGGAACAATGCCTTTGAAATTATGATATGTTTTATTATTAACTATGTACCATTATATTTAAAATTTATCAACGATTCCTCCAAACGGATGCCTAAAGTGGTACCCTTTCACAACAGCAAACAAGAATTTTTTGTTTAAGAAATGTATAAGTATCTTAACCTAGGCTACTAAAAGATTATGTGTTGACTTTTCAAGATCCCTTGACCGACAGACCGGTTACAGAAAGTGTCCATGATTTATTTGTTGATAAGATAGCTACAACAAAAAAAGGACCAATATAAAAAAGAGGAATAGCTTATTAGAATATTTTGTAGAGCTTAATGAGAATTCTACTACTTCACGTTTTACTTCTTCAGATTTTTACCTATCGCATCTAATTACAGGGCATCACTTCTTTAAGGCTTAATTTCTTCAATCTTAATAGATAGATTAAAGAAAATATTTCGTTACAAACCCTATCCTATTGCAGAAACGGCATTGCTGAGGACGTATTCTTTTAATGTGAAAGATACAGCTTTGTGACGTATGACCTGAAGATCTCTACGATTGATAATATGCTAAGTTCAGAGAAGAAATTGTGGGCAGTATCAAATATGGTTACTATAGTAATGATTGAGCAGGGTAGCTTGAAAGATATCGACACATACTGAATGAGTGAGCATGTAAATCCAGATTTTTCCACGTTCCTTAAGGTGTATCCAATGGACGCAGTGGTTTGCAAAATAACAAACGCATCCTATTTTCAAAAGGGCCATTTGTAAGCTGATAATGTTTTAGCTTCCACATTAGAGAATGCATATAGTATATTGTTACCCCAAAAACAAAACAAACAGGAAAAAATTAGATTACTATATTACCCTAAAAACGTTGAAATTATCAGTAGCGAATAAATTAAGGTGTTATTTAGTGCTTTTTAAGGAATAAATTACGAAAAATGGGTCTACATGAGAAAAAATTGCCTATTTTACAAAGACAATGCGCCATATTAAAAGCTGACTACATAATCGTAAATTACCCGATTTGTATTTTGAAGTCCTTTTCAATCCACCGTATTCTCCAGATCTAGATTACAGCGACTACTATGTACTTACAGACCAAAAACGAAAGTGTCAGAGAGAAAGATTTCATGATTTCCGTTACTGTCACATATTTTAATGTCATTTCTAAAAAATTCTTTCAAATATTAGTATTATAATGTATATGTCTTGAAGGAAAACTTATTAAGTGATGTCTTAAATACCGCAGTTAAAGAAAGATATATAACACCTAACCTTTTCAATATGTCGTCGTTCCTAGTATTAAGCATTATTAAAATGCTACCTGAAATATGAAATAAAGCTTCAAACGAAGTTGTGTCATTATATTAAGATAATGAAAGTCATATTTATTTGACCTACTATGTTATACCTATATTGCAACAAACTAATAACATTTCTTGCAAAATCCTAACAAAAATTTATTAAGTATCTCTTAAGGTATGGAATATTAAATCCATCGCTTTTATGTGCTTTTGCTGGTCCAATAGTCAGAACTTCAACAAAGTTCTTTCAGAGAAACTAAAATTTGTAATTGCCGAAATTACAAATACTTACTTTACGTACATAAAGAATGATTAGGCAAAACCATAGAAATCAATAGAGCCGCAACAAAGGACCAATTCGAAATTGACATTGAGTGCAGCAGGAACAACCTATTAAACCGAAAATAAAGTTATGAAACTGCATACTATCAATTTCCTTCCTTTTAACTTCTCGAGCACTTTTGGAAATGTGCATTTCATTTGTGCCAATACTAAATACTAATTCTGCACAAATCTGCCTCTACGGTGGGCCACGGATGCACCCATTTTCATTTGCATTGCACACAGAAATCTATAATTATAAACGAAAATGCTCGATGCTGTGATGTGAAATCAATGAAGTACATGTGTATGTGTGTAATTGTGTATATATATGTGTGTAGGTTAAAAGGAATTCAAGAAAGCCAATGCAATGTTAAGGACGAAACAATTGAAACGTAAATTGAAACAAATTTTTTAATTTAGGTTCTCTGTGAAACTTTTCCAATCCAATCCAAAATTCAATCCCCACTTTTAAGATGCTGTGGTATGGAGTTCCAAAATATTTACAAATGGAAAAAACTGGACAAAGGAGGCCTAAAGTGCAACTTCACAATTTTTTTCTCTGCTTTTGGATTGGTTTTAGTTTTGTAAACTGGAACAAATTTGAAAGGATTTTGAATTCAATAAATAAATATTTTTAGCTCTAATTTTGATCTAATCAAAAATTTTGGACTATACAAATATATTTCTCAAAGGCAAATTAAAAATTTTAATTATTTGCTTTTATTGCCAATCATTGGCAGTTCAAATTAAATTATCAATTTTGCAAATAAAATAATACAAGATTTGAATTTAAATTCACAAATAAATGAAATCGGTAGTAATATCCAAATTGGTTACATGTACTACCTATAGTAGTCAAGTTATTTACTATAGAGATAAACATTTGACTTAAATTGTTGTAAATAAATGATAAATGAGATATGTAGCAGCGATAGTGTACAATATAGGAAATATGACACATGATATAAAAAGAGTTACGTTAAGAAAAACCAATATAGACCGTAAACCCATTTTATAATAGAAGGGGTAAATTCTTTACTGGTACCCGCACCATCCTTAAAGGTTTAAGATACCGGACTAGCTATATTAAAATAATAGATGTACAATTTCTGGACAGAGCCAGAATAGTGACAGTAGAGGAGTCGCACTTTCTGCATCCTTCTCTGACCAAAACCTGCAACAGTAACCATTTAAAGACAACAATTAACCAGTCGAAATTCCATATTGCATTACTTTAAAAAGTATTATATTTTTCCTATGTATTCTATTTATTTATTTCTATTTGAGCCCGGGGTATTTTTAAAAAACCTCTTTACGCCTTGACTGGGATATTGTTTATCACTTCATCCGACTAAGCAATAATTGACCTCAGATCTACATAACTCCCCGAGGAGCCTGTAACCATTCTGAGATTTGATAACGTGATGTTGGTAAGTCTGTCAGTTTTCACAAATTATTTCAGGGCTCTATCCTTTATGTATTTTTTGATGGTCCTAATTCGTCCTAATATCGTTCTAATATGATTTGATTCGTCCTAATGTGCAATGGTGCTTTAAAAGTCTTCTCAGAGCCTGGCTGTGTGCAATTTCTAGCTGGCGAATAGTAGTGATTGAGGCTTTTCTACAAGCTACACAACCATATAGAAGTGCTGGACAAATTATTTGTCTATATATCAGTTTCCTGTTCTTAGCATTGAGATTTTCATTTCTGCCTAGCGGTTGGAGGTGATGAAAAATTTTGGCACAGCTGCTTCTTTTCAATTGAACATGTTTAAGCCATGTGAATCGTTTGTCTAGCGTGATACCGAAATATTTAATGCGATCCTCCCAGTTTATTACCATATCACCCACTCTCACTCTCGACGGATTCTGTCTCCATTTACACGTTATAAACAGAGCCTTAGTTTTTTCATTGGTTCTCCATTTCCGTCTCATATAGTAGTTGTGCTCAAAAGGTAAAAGGTAGAATTATGTTGTATGTTTATTATCTTGAATTATCTTTCGCAATGTATCTTGTTTATCGAATCTTTTTTGTGTATTGGTTGTGATGCTAGCGACGTTCATGTTATTTATCAAATAGCTTCAATACATATTTCCAAATTAAGTACAAACCATTTAATGTCTCCAAATAAAATAAAACACATTTACACTACTCTCAAAACAAACGCCTCGCATTTGATAAAGAATGTCGAATTTTTAACAAAAACCTAGAAATGGTTTAGGTTAGACCGGCTACTCATTAACTGAATAATATGAATAAAAAAATTTTTGTTGTGTTTTCATTTCTATTTGAACCCTTCTAACTTTTAAATAATTTCTTTTCGCCATAAGACGCATCACTTTCGATAATACTAATATAAATATTGCACAACAATGATATCTTATAGCAATGAGTTATAAATGAGAAAAAAACTTTGCAGAAAATCAAAAAATCATTGGAAAGGGTCTGAAATGTAACTTTACAAACAGAATTATATATAAAATTTTATCATTTTACCAAGTTACGTACGTCATAATTTCACTTTTATTACCATTTCAATCTGTAGTACTGAAGTAATGTCCAATGTCTGATTTTATTTTTTTTCGGAAAGGAGAAGTGTAATGCTTACACACTGACCACAATCCGATGCCCCGGAAAGTGAGTGCCCCACTCGCACGGACTAAAACCATTCCCTCTCATACCAAGAGATGTTGTCCTATGGTGGGACTACATAAGTAGTACTTTGAGGTAGGGTCCCTATTAGTCATTTAAGACTTCCAT